TCCACCTGTAGCCTTGCTAGAGAGCGAGAAATTTGTGAAGGCCTGTGGGCCTGGCGCCTCACAAAAGATGCTCGGCCCACAAGTGTGGGAAGCGCTGGCCATGGATAGCAAGGGTGGGCACTCTTACCTTCGTATTCGCCATGCGCTGTTGAGGATTGGCTTCATGGATGGAATCACCTTGCAAGAATGCAAGAAGGTCCTTGGCGGGTCTATGTCTGAAAAGGTCATTGAAGCAGAGGATCTATGCACAGAAATTCGTGCCCTTTGTCAAAAGCATGCTGTGTCTCCAGAGGCCATGCGAGAAGTGCTCCTGTTTGAGCACGAGATCATCAAAGTACTGCTTGACAAGAAAGGCCATGCTGAGAGTGTGCAGCATTGCGCACATGATTTGGTGGTGAGAGTGAAGGAAGTGGACGGTCGGGAGATCACAAACAAGTGGAATACGTTTGTGCCCTCAGACACATCCACCCCATCTGCCATCCCCTCCAAGAGTTGTCACAATACCCAGATTCTCGGTTGCTTGTTGAGTTATGCCTACATGTATGTGTATGTAGTTAGTCTTGTTCATTTGTGAGTGCAATCATTTGGTGTTGGAAAAGGAGCTGGGCCAATTGGCTCGCCGTGCTGGGCAAGAAAATGCTCGCGCTTACCACCGTGTTTTGTGATGGCTGCCATGTTTGATTTGCAACTCAATCCCAAGCTAAGGATGCGCAGCTACGACACAAAGGGAAAATTGGTCGACGGCTCCCAGTTGGTCCTGCAAATGGGCTTTCAGGTTGGCTGCCACATTGTGCGGAAACAGGACGAAGTGCTGGCAAAGATCGTGGAGTTCTCTGGTGACCTTGTGAAATTGAACGTCACCGGTGGAATGGAGTCCGGAATCTTCACTGTGCACATGCAGTCATTTCTGAACAAGGAATGGAAAGTCTATACCCCAAAGAAAGAGGTAGAGTTTTGGAAGGAGCATTGGGTGGATCATGGCCTACATCATGATTCTTTCAGAGAGGGCATCCTTAGGGGCAAGGTGATGCTTGCGTTGACTGAACTTGGTCTCAAGCACCAAGACGTACTGAAGGGGCTTGATGTTATTTTGAAGCCCTGCAAAGGTGTTCAAGCCAAGAAGGCATTTGCTCCTGGCAAATGCATCCTCGTTCCGCTGACTTTTAAGCTGACATTTGCAGACGAAGCGAAGACCCTTCAGTCAGGAGCCGTTTCCCTTGGGCCTCTGTCCCAAAACTCATGCGACCAGATCATATGGGGGTATTTGCTACCATGCCAAATTTTGCCAACTGAAGAGCGACAAGGATTCATTGCTCCATTTTGGAGTGTTGCATGCTCTTCAGAAAAAGATGAAACCAACATGGAGCTGGTGCCCAAGAATCTGCCAGATCAGTCGCATAAGGGCTTGGAGACTGTTGCTGTGACAATTCCTATCATGAAAAACTGTAGAAAGATTGAGCCAGGTGAGAATCTTGTTTGCTTCAAGGAGGAGAAGTCGCAGCCAGTCGAACTGCAGCCGCTAGTGCCAGAATCGGCGCCGAAGCGGATGAGAACCAAGGGCAAATCGTGAATCCGTGATTAGATCATGGTATGAAGCGGTATAAGATGTTAATCTTGGTTGACGAACCAGAACTTGTGCTTTTTCAAAGGACAAACTTTTTTAATATTCTGTATAATGTCCTAACTTATGAGACGTATGGATGTGTTCGCTCGGACCCCAAATATCAACAAAGACCTTGAGATTATGGAATCAATAATTTTGAAAAGCAAGAGTCAAGCGCAAGTCTGGAGATTAGAGTCTAGAGGTCATGTTTGCAGTGAGGCGGTATGTTTTCCTTCTCTTGAGCAGAAAACATGCAGCCTCTTCACTTGCTTGATTCTGCGAGCTGTGAGGTTCTGGAATGTTGCACGTAGGATCGGGGCCGTAAGTCTGGGCCGTGAATTGCCTCAGCATTAATTCACTTGTCTCTCTCAGTGTTGCTCTTCCTAGATAAAGGACCTAAGTTGTGGTCGATCTGGTTGATTGGAACCATTGACTTTGCATGCATGTTTGATAGTTGGCTCATTCGCTCCATTGGCTGGTCATTTGATCGCCCTAGCTGGGCCAACAGTGGCTCGCTCTAACTCCACGCTATGGCGGTACAGATCCAGAATGTGGTGACGGTCACTAGCTCTTGGAGCCCCAAGCAGATCTGGAGGCCTGCAACTGAAGTCTGTGATGACGTGGTCTTCTGCAAGGTGGAAAAGTGGTCCAGAGAGTTCACCCGCTTTGCCACTGGGAGGGCTTTGGATCTTCGAAAAGACAAGTCTTGGACTGTCCAGTGCGAGTTTCTCCAGAGCTTGTTCGATCAGCGTCAAGAGGAGTCCAAGAAGGCCGTGCAAGAGGTGCTGGAAGGGGGTCCTTCAAAAAAACGAAAGATATCCCAGAGCGACAAAGAGCTTGCCAGCCCATGGGTGCAAGTGGTCATGCCAGAGGTTCGCACTGAAGAGAAAGTCTACCCAGAGCGATCGGTGCGTGTACGCTGGGCTGTGAAAGATCCTGCACACTGGATTGAGATGAATCCTACGATCCTGGAACATTTGGCGCAGGGCATCATGTGTGGAAAGGACCACGATGATGGAAACGAAGGAAATGAGCATTGAGCCACCGGGTGGGGTATACCATGGTTCCTGATCAACACTTACACAGATTCCAAAGCTAGCGCTGTTAATGCTATTGATGCATTTCTGCAGCCAAACCATTAGAATTAGAAGGCGTTTTCATTTTTGGGCAAGTAGGAGATAAATCCAAGTGCTAGCTGATAGACATTTTCCAACAAGAGGTATGTTGGTAGGAGCCATGGTTCAGCGCGAGATAGGATCACTGCAGTCCTTCTTGATTCGGTGCACGCAGGGCACGCTGCATCATTGGCAAGGGGTTCAAAAGGAAACGATTGTGGAGCTTTCGGCATTCAAAGACTATATGCATTTTCTGGCATGTGTGTATTTGCATATCCATGTGTGAGCACATACAAACATGAGCACATGCGAGCTGAAGGCTGTGATACAATAATCTCAAAGAATTTGAGTTTGAAACAGGTCCTTTCTGTCTTCAGATTGAGGAGTTGCGATGTTTTCTTGAACTTTTTAAGCCTGTTCGAAGATGATTCAAGCGGATACGAACCAAGTTCTTCATGGTTGGTTTGAAGCTTGAGTCCGTTCTATCAAATCCAGATTTCAGTTCATGCATGGTAGGCGGAAATTGTATATGTTACGCCGATATTCGTGCAGCCATTTGAGGTATGGACAAAAGGCATCCTACAATTGTCAGGGTACATACTTTGATTTTGAGGCAAATGTTCAACACAGCAGCATGACCATTCACATTCAATGCACATGAATTCCACTTGACACTGAGCAGCCTGCACCTGATTGAATTGCGCCGACCATGTGGGGTAGTGAGGCGGTCACTTCTGACCAAACCCAGAAGCTGCAGGCAGCCAAGACCATCACCCTTGGACACCGGCAAAGACTGAAGAGCAAGATGAAGGCTCTTCATGGACCCCTGCCAAAGACGAGGAGGAGGAGGA